CCAGATGGCTCACCATGCGCTGAATTTCCCAGCCACTGAAAAGCAAAGGTCGGGGGAAGAAAGATTGAACTTCACGTTTGCTACGAAATATTTGCTTGAAAATATTTAAAAAATGTATTTTTAATGTGAAATAATGAAATATAATTAGAGCTATCCAAAGCCTAACCTGGCACCTGGCCCAGACAAGGCGCCATTCAAATTGCGTGGGTCAAGTTGACCTAGGTCGGCCTAGGTTAGGCTTTTGGATCGCCCTCAATAACTTCCATATTCACTGCTGGCCAGTTTTGCGAATGTTTATAACGCTATGTATTTGTTGGCTTTAAAAAAATTTGGTAGAAAATTTGAGTAATTATTCTTATTGTTTGAAAATGCACTGATTTGAGTTTGAAAAACACACGCTTAATTTTCTTGAAAAATATTAAATTTTGGTATTCTTTGAAATGAATTCATAATTATATTGTGCAGACTAAAATTTCTTTCTTCTTTGTTCGCAGGTGAGTACAACAAAATTCTACCGTTTATGGAACTTCTGCGTCTCTACTTTGCCTCGCGTCCTATCATCTTGAATGTTAGGTAGAGCGGACAGGTGCAGCGACGGAGCTCACCTGCTCCCTTCGTTCTTGAACAATGTAGGGCATCCGGCGACGGAACGGGAAAGGGAAGCGACGAATTCAGTGAAACGGCGTCTAATTCCTCGGAGGAAAAAAGTTCTCATACTCTCCCTTTTCCAAAAACGTTCCTAAATCATTTGTAAGTATTTTACTTCCAAAATGTTTTGAACGCTAATTAATGAATTTAATCTCTTGTCACACAAAGAAGAGGAAAATAGTGTCCCTCTGTGAAAGATCAACAAAGTTTTCGGAAAATTTCCTGAGGCGTCTCTCGCGTGAATTTTAATTAATTCCGGCACGCTGGCAACTTTTAAAGGCTTAATTAGGAACTGTGTTCGCCTTTTTCACTATGCTTATCTCTCTGCCAGTGGTGAACGAAACTTTTCTCTTGGCTGCTCACGCGGCGAGCGCAGAGTGCGGTCAGCGCCAAATCTCTCTGGTAATTGCAGCCCGTGGACGGCCGCACCAAAAAAGGCCAGACACCAACTCGGGCGTTAATTATTAGTAAAACCGACTAACAAGTTCCTCCCACTTTGAAGTAATCCGACCAATTTAAAAAATGTAGATGGATCTTAAATTTTAACTATGCATATATAAAAAATTCAAAACATTTAAAAGCTCATTAATTATAATTATAATTTCAATTTAAACACATAATTTTTGTATACATAAATTATTTATATTAAATTAATTTGGTAATTATTTTTTTGATAAATTATACATAATTATTTTATATTTTTTAATTAATAACCTTCTTTCAAGTTCTATAGAATATTTCGGGGGAATACATGAAAATCATCGCTACTTCTCATTTTAATTATAAACGAACGAATGTTATGTTTGAAAAATTTCATCTGGGATTATGTTTTGAGGCGAGAATTATTCGCGCCTCCACTCGCCCTGGTTGTGAATTTTGTGCTTTCGCTCGCTTGTTTGCATAAATAAATAATTTGGCGGCGTGCTAATGTGCGCCTGAAACAAACACTGCACGCACTCGGCCGAGCTGCATTAAATTCGGCCGCTTTTTAATCTCGGATCTGGCGCGGCCAATTTGAATTTCAGATCTGCAGTCGGAGAAAACACGCACACCTGCTACAAATTTCAACTCGTGACGCACCAACTGCCCGCTTTACATTATGTATATTATAAAAAAAAATAGCTCACAGTGAAAGTTGGACCGAAATAATAGAGTTTTATCTGGCCTCATTTGCATCCGCGGCCGAAAATAAAACTCTTGATTCAGACTGCGACGGCTTTTTTGACGGCACCGACGATGCTTCCTCATTTGCCGAAATCCGTCGGTTGAACGATTCATGGCGGCAGCGTGCCCTTCCGACCAACGACACTCGCTCTCCATAAATCCGACGCACCACCACTCATCCCTCTCATTTGTCCTGCACCACTCGTTTTTTTTTTTTACAACACGGTCGCTGTCGCATTTGCTGCAAAGTGGCCATTTTTCATAACGGCTAAAGTGGTGGCAAAATTTTTTTATTGACATCTACTACACTTTGGTGCTAAAAATTTAATATTTAATTTCTGTCCCAACCATTCCTTTTTTAAAGTAAAATTTAAATGGATATATTTTAATTAAAACCATCTTTTTGGAAACCCTGAGGCCGAGGAAATCCCTAAAGACACTAATTTTTTTTTCTCTGTACCAATTTTTTTTTTTGCCGTTCCATTCTCCCTTTGGAGGTTTTCTAGCCATACCGAGAATGCAATAATTCTGATTGGGTGCAATTTGCGATGAAAATTCGTCTTCGGTGCCGGGGCCGATGACAAATAGGCGTCAGGAGCGACGAAGGGAGGCGCAAAAAGTGGCCGGCCGGAAAAAAGTGCTTATTATTTTTTGCGGTGCCGCTAGAAAAAGATTGATGGATGCTGCTGGCGGCTCTTTTGATCGCGAGAAACAATTGATTCTGGCCGATCGGCCAAAAGACAAAACCTTCCCTTTCGGTTTTTGCCCGCATCAATCACCTGCGCCAAGATCAACCCCCCTTTCCGAACTGCATTTCTCCAAATTGACGCAACCAAGGCGCCTTATTAAGTGAAACCGATATCTCTTTCCTAAGGATCATTTGTACGACGGCACATGGCGGTTTTTTTGTGGTGACGAAACTTTTAAGATAACAGGAGTGAGAAAAAATCGACTCTATTTTCCTTCCTCTCCTAATCTAGATTATTTCCATTAAAAATCTTAAAAAAAAATATCTATCTTAACGTTTTTTTATTCAACGTTTTATGTACGTTTTTCTCTAAATTTCTAATTTAAGTCTTCTAAATTTTGAGACCATAATATTTTTACTAATTTTACTCCGGCACATCAGATTAAATTTCTTATAATTTTAAATTTCTTTTTACAATTGTGCAAGAAACGAAATTAATTTAATCGGTTGCTACGGATTTTAATTTTTATTTCCAAGCAACGTGAATTACGGTATAGTGGGTTACGAAAAAATCTGTTTATCTTTTTTTAAATTGTTAATGGCCGTGTAAGAGTCAGTAGGGCGCCTGCGAGTTATACTTTTTGCCGGGCAGATGCGGCAAGCGCGTTGCCTACTCGTGTTCGCGCGTCCAATTAATTAAAAACGTCCGGTCCGAGTGGCGCTCACGCCCTCTTAACCTCTTCTCTTCCTCTTGTTTCTTTTTTTTTTCAACCGCAACAGCAGTAATGCACTCGCGGCGCAGGACATTAGCGGGATTGCATAGGAAGAGCGCGGGGATTAAGAGCGGATTAATTAGCTTAGCCGGCGCGCGTTGAACCCTGCTTTTGGCCAGAAAAGCGCAGGACTTGCGGCTTTTGGCTCCGGGCGAGATTTACACAGAGTACAGCGCGCTTGCATGACAACTTCGATCGATTGCAAACCGACCGACTTGAATTCCAGTGAAACACCAATCAACTAATTCACAATCAATTCCATTGAATTGGTCTTACGTAAATGGCTGTTGATTTTTTTACTGCGCTTATCAAAAGGGTATTTAATCACATTGAAACATAAACTTTATTAGTAGCTTGAAGCTCCGTTTCACTCAATTAGTGTCTATGTGAAATTCAGTAATAAATACAGAAATTTTATATGCCCATTTTATTTATGCTATTATATTGAGTTTTAAATTTTATGAAAAAAATTTTATCACGTTCATGTTTTAAATTTTTTCTTTGGCAATTTTATAAATTTTTTGTTACGTTTCTAATGTAATCAAAATTTATTTCATTTATTTATTTGTATTAATTTTTATAAATAATGTAATATTATTTGTTTTTTATAAAATGATATTAATACTAATGTATTGTTACCATAATTACAATAATTTGAATAATCATATTATTTGCAGATTTTTATTGAAACAGTGCATTTTATGGTGAAAATATTATTATTATTCATATAGATAAATTAAAATGCTTCAAATTAAGTTGCTTTAAATTATTTTACAATTAAAACAAATTATCTTTAAGCGTTATGAATTTTAAATTTTGTTTATGGAAGTTTAATCTCTTGTAATTCATGCAAATACTGGTAACACAAATATTTTTTTTTTATTTGTAGTTTAAATTTAAAAACGGCAGTTCCTCAATGGGTTTTGACTGTTTTGTGTGAAGTTATTATTGTTTTACATAAAAAAACAAATATCCTGCGCTATATTCATGTTTCGTCTGCGGGCTGAAGCCATAATTTTCAAAGCAGCATAATTATATTGTTTTTCCCATAGAACAATAAAAATAACAATATGCATCAAGGATCTGCCGCTTTTCAATTAAAACAACATGTAACAACAATCATTCGTAAATTAATTCTTGTATATAATACAAATATTTTATACCTTAGGTAGATTAAAAATAAAATTCATTATATTTAATTACTTTCATCAATTAATAATAACTGATAATAATCAAAATCTGCTAAAACCATTGCATTGACTGAGAAGAATAAATAATAATTTAGGAATACAATTTGAAACTAGGAGCAATTAAATTTGTAAAAAAAATATTTTTTTTGTCCATTTCTCTATTTCATCTTTCTGAGTTTTTTTTTTATCAGAATTCAAAATTGGGAATGTGTCTGGAAAAAAGTTTCTTATGTAGGGAATATTAATAAGGGTAACAATTTTTAGCACATGGAATGAAATTTAAAGTAGACTGGCATTTTATATGTTTGTAATCTGATTTTTTTCTAATTTTCAGTAATTTTTAATCCATCTTATTCAAATAATTTTTTTTTTACTTCATTTCAATAATGCACAAGGAGCAAAGAGCGTCGTTTGCCAAGATCTGATCACGTTGAATTGGCAAGTCCGCGCACACTGAGCGTGGGAAGCGCTGCTGCTGCAGAGCAGCTCGGGGGTGTCAAATTTCGCAAGCGCCGCGACTTGTGGCAGTCACGAAATATCAACAAGCGTGTGTGCTTGATACATTTCTGCAGCCCATAATTGCACGAATAATATATTTGATCGATTAAGAAAGAAAGGAACGGACCGAGTTGATACGCAACAGGCAAGCGCTGGGAGGTTTGGTGCGACGAATTAAGGGTCTTGCGAGTGCAGCCCGGCCGGAGCTGCGTGCGGCGGCGGCACTAGCGCCGCCCGCCCGCCGTTGCGGATCCGAGCAGGGCCGCGGCTCGCGAGGCCAGTGGCAGTTGGCAGCGCGCGCGATTGCCTCTCGCCCGCCGTTTCCGCTCGTCGGCCGCCGCGGCACCTTCACGCGTGCACCGTGGCCTGCAGTTTTGCCAGCGGCCAACGCCGCTAAGTCCTCTTGTCTTTCTCTCTCATCTCTTCTCTTCTCCTCTTCGCCATGAACACCGTCCAGAGCGGCGGTGGCCAAGTCGGCGGTGGTGGCGGCGGCGGCAAAAAGTGCAGCTCCCTCTCGGTGAGTGCCAAAAACTTTCCTCATTAACAGGTGATCGCCGACGAGATTTCAAAATATTTGAATTATTTCCAAAGTCCAACGAACCTCCTACTTATGCGGTTTTATAGGTTTTCGTGCGCTGTAAAATGAGGGATTGGAACACGCATTTGATAAATACATAAATCCGTCGCACGCCACATTTACGTCCTATTCGGAAATTTATGTATTTTGATGAGCACGGCGGGGTTTTCTCTGATCAATAAAACGCTTATGAAATTTGGAAGGAAACTAAGTCGAATAACTGAATAATACAAAAATCCGTTCAGAGGGTTATTTTGAATTTACAGTGTCACGAAAAAATTTAATTATTTCCTAAAAACATGAAGAAGTTTTTGTCAAACATAGTAACTTAGTAACAGTTCCATCGCATAGCACTATATGATCTGTCAAAAGATGTGCTCATCACTTCAGCGTAAAAAATATCAAAGTAAAAAATTCCAAAAAACAATCAAATAAGGAATGAAAAATTGTGTACGTGAAAATCAGCAGATTATTTATTATAATTTTTATAATCTTTAAATGCTGAAAGTATATCCGTGTATATCAAATGATTATTATTTTAATACTTTCATTTGCAAAACAACTTTGCTCAAAGGTATTTGTCCCCCGGCATAGGAGAACAAGGACATCAACATCCCTGCAGAAATTTTTCCTCAAATGTATATTTGAGATACTTTTTTCATAAACGATCTTATCAAGATAAAACAAATTTCAAAAAGTTTTATTTAAAATTTAGAAGAATGACAATGAAGCATAAATATTGGTCTACTTCAATCAGTTTTTGAGCTAACACGATCAATTTTTTGTGTTTCAAAAAACACTAAAAACCCATTTCAAATACATACAAAGCCAAAATAAAAAGAAAAAAAAAATCAAAATTAAAGCTAGCGTTTCTTTCTTAACAAAAGAAAAACACGCAATGATTCTCTATTTAAATTTGAGTGAAAAAAGGCACACTATCAGTTTTCATCGCAGTCAACGATCCTGTCTTGTGAGAAAATATAAAATGAAAACGCGGGAATTGATAAAACCATTTTCCTCACTTTTTTTGCTGACCACTTTTAGAATAGCAGAGACAATTTGAATACCACTTAGGAAAATGATTTAGCCTCCCCATTAATCAACTTGCTCTAAAATTGTTTTACTTGTCATCTACGGAATTCAATTCTCTTTTTTTCCACATATTTGTATATTAATTTAGAATTTAATAAATTATGCCCGGTGATACATTAATAAACACAATTTGCAACTAAATTTATCCGCTGTCATCAGTGATGTGATGAGAAAATCCTTAAAAAGTTACGTTTAATGTAATATTAAATGCTAAATTTTAATAAATAATTGTAAGAGGAATTTGCTCTCAAAACCATTCAATTTAGTTAGAAACAAACCAATCTTGATGAAGCATTAATTAATATTCATTATTATTGTTGATTATTTGTCCAAATTGTTACATCATTTTGAGAGCCGTGTTTGATTTCGAGGATAAATATTTGATTTTTCTTGTTTTTATCAGTTTTTATATCAAATAAACTCGATGTGTTTTTTGAACCAGACCAATTTCAATAAGTATAAAAACAACCTTTGCCGTCCCAGCTATTTTTTTTCGCATTTTAATTGCTTGTTTGCGGGGCGTCCGCAAATTGGCCTGGTTGCCTGGTGGCGGAAATTGTGTCGTTTGGGGAAAAAAGCCGTTTGCCGAAACCAGCGCTTTTGGCACGCTCGCTCGCTTTGTGTAATGACATGCATGTTAATCCGCGCACCGAGAATGGAGCGATAACTGGCGTGCGCAAATATAAACAAACCCCTCGCGAGCAAACACGTGTCCACAAATAATACAGTCAGTCAATCGCGAGCGAGCGAGAGATTCTGCCGAACCGATCCAGCGCCAGGCACGCGAAAGCCATAGAACTTTTGCATATTCATCGGACGGGCGACCGTGACAAGTGACCTGCGCGCGTTTTACGTTCCGCTCGCGCACCGAAGGGAGCAACAAGGGCCTGTTATAGACCGACTGTAACACATATGCGGATTTACATGTTTCCTTTCTCGTAAAACTTATTCCCCTCGGTGCGGGTCTCGTGCCTTTTTATCACATTCGCCGCCACGCAACACACATAAAAATGAATTTCCCGAGAAAAGGTACCGAGGTCTTTATGGAGACCGTTAAATTTGGGTTTCAAAATTTAAAGACACTCCTCTCCATCGGAAGAATTCATGAATTTGAATTTATAAATAATCAGAATCCTCTTTCACGAATAAAAATTTCATTTATAAAAATTTTTGGTGAAATCAAAGAGAGGATCAGAGCATTAATCCAGCTTGGAAACGGACCACTCGTTTGGCCGTTTCGGTTCTCCTACCAGCTCATCATGCAAATTGATTTATAGAAGATTAACTTCGGGCTGCAGCGCGTGCGGCTTTTTATTCATTGCCGCAGCGTGGAGCGCCAGAGAGAAACATCAAAGGCCTAGCGTAGGCTTCGTCGGTGCTGCTGCTGCGATGGATGAATTCGCCTCTCTTTCTCTCCAACACGCGCAAGGAGCACCGACGATGGCAGCTTCCTGCCCGCCTTTTGCCCAAAAAGAACAAAGCATTCCAGCCCTCTCTCTTGCAAATCGAAAAATTCCGTCTTACTTTTACATAGAGCTCTAAAATGGTCCTTCATTTGTCGGCAAAGTCAAATATAATGAGAGCATTCCTAACGTATTGGAAAAATAGATATGCACATTTTTAACCTATTTTTAATGATCATGAACTCAAATTTACTCACAAAGACCTTTTTTAAATTTAATATTGACTTTTTCTAATCACATTAAAGCAACTATTACATAGTTTTGAGTTTTTTTTGTACATTTTATCTCCGATTTTTCAATTAAAATTTATTTTACATCACCTATTAAAAAAAAGCTGATTTAGACAAAAAATACCTAAAAAACAGCCTTAAATCTTAAAATAAACATATTATTATGATTTAAAAAATATCCATATTTTCTACTTTTTTTGTTTCATTTTTCTGATTTTTTTTTGTTGCTTCACAATTTTTTTTGCCATTTTCAACTAAAAAATCACCTAAATTCTCTATTATTCCCAAGCATCCGCCGAATGTTCTTCAAGGCTCACTTTGCCTCAACCAATGTAGGCTTTTGGATCGCCCTCAAAATGCATACCTCTATTTATTAAAACAGTAATTTATTTATTTTTGTAAGTTCCACAATCTTGATATAATACTATCGTTGTTTTTTTAATCTTTTTGTCACAACCATTTTGCTTACAATAAATAAAAAATATTTTAAAGAAATATATTTTCAGATTATGGGATCACGGCGGCAAATATTATATTATTTTTATTTCAATTCCAAAAATGTTAACGTAATTTCATGGCCGACTTTAAATATTATTTGATTGCAAAACCTGATTTCATCGCTTGGGTGGAAATTTGTATCACGATTTGGACATTTTTCAACGAAATTTGTGCAATTTCAAATTCCATAACTAAAATTCACCATGCAATCCTTGAACTGAAGTGTCTGAAGTAAAACCAGATGATTATACAATTCCAAATCACAACAGGGAAACACTCTAGTGAGATTTTCCCATCAGTCAATAATTGCCGTTTGATTCCAGAAAAGCAGTCGGGTCGTTCAATTAAACAAACAGAGAGCAGTCGGCTCGATGCTCTCAATCGAGTTTCCGTGGCGGGTGCCAAATATTTGTCGGATCAGTTAGCACAGATATAGTTAATGGCGATGGCCGGACCGAGTTTTGGGCTGCCTAGATACAAGGAGCGCGCGGCGAGCTGCATTATTTGCTTCAGCGGAGGCCCATTATCGCAGGGTTGATTGGTTGTGTGTGTGTGTCGTCGGCCGCCCCACTTGCCAGCAGATACAGGGGGGCCTATGGAGGCAGCAGACAATGGGAAACTCTGCTGCAAGTTTGCCCATCAACGAGCGACACGACAATGCTGGGAATATCATTTCGTTGCTGTTTGTTTTCTGCCGGCGGCTCGGCACGGGCGACGCACACACAGCAGAAGAAAAAAAAACTCGCGTTGAAATAATATTATTGCAACAATCCGCCCTCGAATAAACACGACCCGAGAACTCGAATCGTTGTTGTGCGCCTCAAAACTTTTCGGCGTTACGTAACCGCTCGGAAAAATTTGAAATTGTAATTCAAATGAGTCGATTCAGTCGATACTGCGCTAACATGAACGAACCAAGGCTTTGTTGATTATTATGTAACAGATTTCTTATTTCAATCAATGCCAATTGTAAAAAGTCAATTATTACTTTTGTGACTTTTAATGACTTTCTTACAAGGAATTTATGTTTAGAGCGTTTTCTATTTTAAGGCACAATAATAAATCAAATTTTGATGTATTTAATTAAATAAAGAAGACTGATAATTTGTGAGAAATAATTAAAATCAAGAAAGAGTCCAAAGTATTAAATTATTTTATCAAAATTTATGATAAACTATGGATTTTTTTTTAAATAAATCGATTATATACATTTTTTCCTAAGCAATCTATCAATCGTCATCCAATTAAGGTTGAAGTTTTTAAGAAAATATAAGTCAGAATAAAATAAAATTGGAATCAATTGATATTTCATCTTACATCTCGTACCTTTCCTATATTATTGTTAGAAAAGGCTGCCAACTAATTTTCCACTTTTTGCAATCGCGCTACTGAGATCAAATTGTCTCGCGTTGGAACTCTTTTTCCGAGGTCGCGGAACTTCTTGTGTTTGCCCTTATTATTTTCATTGCGGACAAAGTTTTCCCAGCGCTCTCTGCGTATAATAGTCTTTGTCAGTGCAAAGAATTTCGCAAAAGTCGTTCGTAGTACTACAGAAGCGTTCGTTCGCAATTGCATCGCAAACAAACACACTCGGGTTGGCTGCCGCCTTTATATTGCTGTTGAAACAGGGACAAAGAAAGATATATCTTTGGCTTGC